GGGTTTCTCTGTGTAGCTTTGTAGACCAGGCTGGCCTTGAACTCACAGAGATCTACCTGCCTCTGCCTCCCGAGTGCTGGGATAAAAGGCATGCACCACCACTGCCCAGCATTTTTTTCGGTTTTAACAGGTTTTTTTTTTTGTAGAATCTTTAAGTTTTCCTGTTTTAACACTATGTCAAACTGCAAACCAAGATAATTGCTTTATAGTCTAATGTTACCCGTGTTTTATGTATGCATGTTTTGCCTATGTGTGTTCTGTGTGTATGTATGTGTGTTTGTAGAATAAAATATATCTCTAAAAATCATTCCCTGAGGACTGATGTTCTCTCTTGTTAAAGTAACAGATGAGTTAGGAGCTTGTGCTATTTTTTTTTTGCTTGTGCTATTTGTTAAGGTTTATTTTTAACCTAAGTGTTATGAGTGGTTAGCCTGCATGTATGTCTGTGCACCATGTATGTGCCTGGCACCCTTGGAGGTCTGAAGAGGGTATCCTATCCCCTGGACCTGGAGTGACAAGTGGTTGTGAGCTACCACAAAGGTGCTGGGAACTGAACCTGGGTCCTGGGCAAGAGCAGCCAGTGCTCTTAACCACTGAGTCGACGCTTTAGCCCCTGTGCTGATATTTTTAATAGCTGGGTAAGCAGTGGTAGTAACCCAATGTAAGAAATGTCTAAATTATTCGTCAGTGAGATAAAAATACAACATAAGCATTTAATTCTACCTTCACTTTGTGGGGAACAGAGCTGAAATAAAAGTTTTCCATAAGAATTGGCAGTTAGTGGGGATGTGAAATTGTGCAGCAGTATAGACACCAGTGGGAGGCACCACAAGACCCAAAATAGAGCCTCGGTTATTCCGTCTGGTCATGTACCTAGAAGCGTCAGAGTCAGAGCCTCTAAGAGGTGTCTGCACAGTCAGGCTTGGTGCGGTGCTGTTCAGTCACCGAGAGGGGAGGCGGTCCTGGTGCCCACTGGTAGCAGGGGCAGTAAATGAAGGTACAGCAGAATCCACTCAGCCTCCAGGAAGGAGAGCTCTGTCACATGCCATGAGGGTGACACTTGGCGACATTATACTAAGTGAATTAAATCAGCCACAAAAGAAAGGCCTGTGACTCACTTGGGCAGCTCCCCGGTATAGCGAGTGGCAGCCGGCACAAAGCATCTTGCTTTGTAAAGACTGGAGGTCAAGCATGATGATCATCCCTGGCCAGAGTGGAGAGAAACCTGCTCCCAGTGACCTTACCCCCTGGTGCCCTGGGAAGGCAGTCTGTTTGAAATGAGCCTCTTCTCACCCACACCGTATCTGGTGACTGGTCTCTGATGCCATCTATGTTAATACCCCCTGGCTGATAAGACTCCTGAGAAGGCTGTTCATGGCAGTGAGTCTACCTTCCTAATGCTACAAACCTTGAATACAGTTCCTCATGTTGTGGTGAGGAACCCCCAACCATAAAATTACTTTCATTGCTACTACATAGCTGTAATTTTGCTACTGTTATGAATTGTAATATAAATCTCTAATATTTGGCTGGTCTTAGGTGACCCCTGTGAAAAGTTTGTTTGACATGCCCCACCCCACCCCGAAAGGGGTGGTGACCCACGTGTTGTGAACCACTGCTTCAGGTGGATTTAGGCAGGTAGAAGCTGCTTAGAGGAAGCCTAGAACGCCGGGTGTCCCAGCTACCAGGGGCTCTTCCCCAGGCAGATGCTTATTCCTACTGCTTCCTTTACAGATGTAAAGTACGTTATCAAAGGCCTTTTTTTTTTTTTTTTTTTTTTTTTTTTTATCAAGAGCTGCTCTCAAAACAACCCTTTTAACATCACCAGAAAAGACACAGTAGAGTGTAGAGGGCAGTAGAGTGTTCTAGTCTCCTTAAGTCAGGAGAGCCTGGCTCCAGAGCCCACATGGGCTTCCTGCACATTCGCACACGGATTCCCTGGCTCTCCCAGCCTTCGCTGGCCTCCCCCAGTTTTCCCACCTGTACTCCGTGCTTAGTTTCATTTTGATTCAATATCTGCGTTTCAAAAGGATAAAGAGTTCACAGGTGACCTCAATCCATTTGGCACTGGAGCCCACACCTGCAATAATTGGCGACTGTCTACAATGATGCAGACGCGTGGACAGCGTGGACACCTTTGTCTCGGCGATGAAGAGAAACTGGGCCAGACTGAGTGAGCCTTTCCGTTACAAAGCAAGGGGGTGCAGGAGAAAAGGGACGGCACTGTTAAGACAGATCTAGGCTGCCCCAAATTAGGGCTGGAATAGGCCCTTTCTGTGGTTGCTGGACAGGTGTGAGGGCTAGTGACTTTCTGCTATTTATAAAGATGGTGCGTGTATACATGTGTGTATGTGTGTGTGTGTGTGTGCGCGTGCGTGTGTGTGCATGTGTGTGTGCAAATGTGCACATGTGCATTAATGAGGGGAAACAAGAGCATGTGTGTGCCATAACACAGGTGTGGAGTGGCATTTTGCCTGCATGTATGTCTATGTTGGGGATGTGGGGGGGTGCTAGGTCTCCTGGAACTAGACAGTTGTGAGCTGCTATGTAGGTGCTGGGAATCAAACCCAGGTCCTCTGGAAGAGTAACCTGTGCTCTCAGCCATTGAGCCTCCTCTCCAGCCCTGACACCTGAGGTTCTACACTGTCTGAGGCTGGGCGTTGGTTCTTTTGATGACCCACTAACGTCTGGGGATCTCCTGTCTCCAGACTGTACCATGGGATGCTGGGACGACAGTGTCCAGCCTCTTTTGTGGTTCTGGGAATTCTAACTCAGGTCTTCACGCTTGCCTGGCAAGTTCTTTGACCTCAATCCTCAGCCATGGGATTATTACATTTGAAGAAATGTTTTTCCTGTGTAAGACTTGAGCTGGTTTGCCTTTTGGGATCTTGTGGCACCACCTGGTGCCTGGTTGGTTTTCATCCTTGTGATCAGAATAGGAGAAAGTGTCAAAGGGACAGATCCATTCATACCATCACCTAAAAAGGCTAGGACTTAGTTTCATGGGTGGCAAGCTGTTAATCAGCCTCTGAGGCTCTCCCCATCTCCTGTCCCCACAGTTGTCCTTGCTCTACCTGAGTAGGACAGACAACCCAGCTTCCCAGACTCCCAGCACCACCAAGGGACATGGTTCACAGTGCTCTGCTGTGTTTCTCTCTGGCTCAGAGTGGGAGGTTCAATAGGCAGTAATTTAAACATGGGAAACATGACATTGAAGTAGGGGTTCGGCCCCGATAGAAGGACAGACACAGCGATGAGGAAAAACTTACAGGGTATCCGCTGTTCCAGCTTTGTTTAAGAGAAAAAAATTTAAAAATTTGTAGAACTCTATCCTGGACAATTTGTCAATAGTGAGCAAATCCAGAGATTGTAGAGAGTGGTTTCTGTCTTGCCTGGTCCCACAGCTGCTTTGCCCCAAATAAACACACAGAGACTTTATTAATTAGAAACTGTTTGCTGATGACTCAGGCTTCTTATTGGCTTTCTTAGTTATTAACCCATAACTACTAATCTATGTATTTCTACGGGACCTATCTTAACAGAGAAGGCTCCATCAAGTTATTTCTTCAGTGACTACATGGCCTCTCCCTGACTGCCTCTCTCTTCTCTCCTCTCCCCAGAATTCTCCTCATCTCCTAGCTCTACCTGGCTACTGGCCAATCAGTGTTTTATTCATCAACCAATAAGAGAAACATATACACAGAAGGGCATTCCCCACCAAGAGATGGTGTATTATGTATTTTAACACAGGATTTCTAAAATAGACATAAACAGGGCAAAACTTCCAGTGAGGCTAGGTCACTCCTAACCCCAACATCAAGGAATTAGGAAATTGAGTGTGGCTTAGAGATGGAATGAGTGTTTGGCTGTGTGTGTGTGTGTGTGTGTGTGTGTGTGTGTGTGTGTGTGTGTATGTGGTGGTTCCAACTGCCAGCTTGAAGAAGAAAAGAAAGTTGGGGCAGGAGAGATGGCTCAGCAGTTAAGACCACTGACTGCTCTTGGCAGAGGTCTTGGGTTCAATTCCCAGTACCCACATGGTGGCTCACAACTGTTCATAATTCCAGTCCTAGGGATGTTTGATTAATTCCCAGCTTGTGGGATGTAATCAAAGGCAGGCTGTCATTACAATATGCTAGAAAATGTGGGGGACAGCAGGTTCTGCTGCCAGGGGCCTCTGACCTACACCTGTTCGGTATTTTTGAGGCAATCCAAAGAAGGTAGGAAATACTCTAGGCTGAGCCCTGTTTGACTTAGGAGCAAAACACAAAACAGAAGGCCCAGTGGGAAGAGCATCACTTGTGCAGCGACCCTGCTCAACAGTGTAAGTCCCCAGAGTCCAGACATATTGGCCACAGGGGACTGGAAAGGCTAGCGGAGTTAGAGAACCATGTGGTCCTAACTCTATGCTGAACTCAAAGAGAAGCCTGGAGCGGGCGTGCTGGGTATTTCTGGGGCCGGCTCAGACAACTATCTGCATGCCTTCCAGCCCAAGTGAGGACAGAGGTTCTGTAGATGGCATCTGAAGGAAGCTTCGTGACCTGTGCCTCTACCCATGGTGTCAGCCAGGGAACCTGGAAGTCATTCTGTGGGCAGAAGGCAGAGCCCCACTGAGCACTGGCTGGGTGCCTGGCATCTATGCGAGGCGCCGGATGCATCTAATTTTGGGCACTTTCTCCTCCACCGGTCCATGGGGTTGGCCATGGGTCCCTGGAATGACGCGCCCCCTAGGGAGCAGTCAGCACAGGTGCTCTTCTCCGGTAGTACTGACAGTGACCTTGCATCGCACATCCTGTGAGCAGAGTTTTTTCCACATAGCTACACCCGCATCCCTATCATCCCGCAGTTCCTGTCATGTGGGCAAGGCTCCTGTCCCCACAGTGACCTGTTCTGTCTCTCCCACTCTGAGGAGGTTTTGCCTCTCCTAGAACCTTATGTTCGAGAGACTCCACACCATCTTCTCTGTAAGGGAAAGTCTCCTTGGCTAGTGCAAGGTCACTCACATTTCTTTGCCCAGCTGTCTTCCTTCCTTTAGAAAAGATCACGCGCAGTCTGTGCTCCAGTTGGCGCAAGCCTGAGGCGTCCTAGTTTGCCTTCTATTGCTGTGATAAAGACCAAAAAAGTGACTTAGGGAGGAAAGCATTTGTTTGGCAGACTTGTCCTGGTCACACAGTGAAGGGACACTAGCCCACTCGAGCATGTGGCCTGGCAGGCCTTGCCCTTCCCCCCAATCCCTCTGCCCTGCTAAAAACCATTAGATCCCTAAAGCTGCCCCCAAGGTCTATCCCCTTATTTAGCCACTTCCTCCTCCTGAGGCTGACTACCAAGGCTCAGCTATCAGAGTATTGGGGTCCAGCAATCTAAAGCCCCCTTGGCTACCCTAATTAACATGCCCAATTAAAATTAAACATGGGATTTCCTCCTTTTCCTTTATAAACTGTGCTGTGTCTGTCTCCCTCTATCCAGAGGCAATCCTTTGTCCCCCCAGGACAAACACCCCTTCCTCCTTTCCCTTGTCCCCTATGTCCTTTACCACAGAATCCCGCCCATTCTAACACAGACCCTCCCCCCTTCTTCTCCTCTTAAAAATCCCACCTGCAAGGCCATTTGCTGCAGTTTTCAGCCTGAGTCAGAAAGCGGCCACTTCAACTTTTCTTCCTGACTTAATAAAGGGTCTCTCTGTGAAGACAAGTGTTTGGGTGTGGCTTGTGCCTCGTCCAGGGTCTGGGAGGAAGCCCCTACTGTTTGGGGGTCTCCTTCACACAGCCCTTCACTGAGGGAAGCGAAGCCAGGGCAGGAACTCAGGTAGAGCCAGCAACTTGGAGGTGGGGATTCAAGCAGACAGCAGGAGAAGCGCTGCTTACTGGCTTCCTTCCAGGGTTCTTATACAGCCCCGGTCCACCCGACTAGTCATGGCATCTGCCATCGTGAGCTTGACGCTCCCACACCAATCATCAATCAAGAGAACGTCCACAGGCCAGTCTGACGGAGGCAGTTTATTCCCCTCTTCCCAGATACAAGTCAAGTTGATGGGAAAACTGACCAGCACAGGCATTTCCTTTCCGGATGCTCCGAATGAAGTCGCCATGCACACCCTCGTGCATGCCATTAATGGAGGTGAACAGCAACACAGCTTGTGGAGACCCTGGACTTTCCGTCATCTCTCTAGGCCCCAAGGACCACTGGCAGACCTGTGCAGGGCCAAGGGCCAGACAGTGCAGTTAGGAAAGAAGTCTTTGACTCCTGCTGTCACTCAGCGGGCTGAGGGCTCTTTTGCCCTACCCACATAGAGAGCACAGGCGACAGTCTTCGAGGAGAAAAGTCCTCAAGTACTACTCTGTTCTCAGGGCGTCTAAGCAGCAGGCGGTAGGCAGGCGAATCAGCAGAGCATGGCGCCCTCTAGTGTTCCAGTCTGGTTCAGGCCTCGGGTGCCTGGAATGTACGTCCTTGGCAGCCAAAATTAACAGCGCTCCTTCTGAGGTCTGAGACCCTGGGTCCTTAAGACTTGACAGATCTTTGGAACACTTCTGTTAACCAGGGCCTGCAGTTTCTGTTTTCCGGATCTTTAAATCTTTTATTTTATTTTATTTTTTGAGGCTTGGACTTACATAATCCGGGCTGGTCTTGAAGTTGTGTTGTAGCTGAGGATGAATTTGAACTCCTGAGCTTCCTGTCTCCATCTGCCAAGTTCCAGGATTACAGACTTGGGCTCCCACACTGGGCTCCTCTATCTTCTATCAGCCAACCCCGCTCTGGTCTCTCCTGGCGCTGCCCTTCCCCCTCTTTGGTTCAGCAGCTTCTCCTTAAGCTGTCAAGCAGGCAGTGCCTTGTTTTTTCATCTTGGCCTGATGACTGCCTAGCTGCCTGCCGCCTGCACCTCCGCCGTAGCCACTGCTCTCTGCTCTCTCTTTTGCTTCTTCGTGTTACCACCATCTCGGCTCTCACTGCAAAAGGCAAGGGGAGATCCCTGGGAGAAGAAGCCTTTATGAGATCTTTAGGGGAAGCAGTGCATCTCCCCGCCAATTCAGTGAATGAACGTATAAAGCCTAAGAAGGATGTTTGGGCTAATCACAGCTGCTTGTTTGGGCCAATCACAGCCTGACTCTTAGGCTAGTCGAAGCAGCCCCTCTGCTAGACCTCCAAGGACAGAGCCCTCCTCCTGGCCAAGGTGGAAATAGTTGCAGGGTTACTTAGAAAGCTCTTTGGCTTGCACTGAGATGTTGGGAAGAGCTGTTTGAAACAGCAAGGACTGGGCTGTGCCTTTGGGAGCAAGGACAATTGGCTGTGATCACCCTGTCATTTTCTAAGGTGTCCCTGCTGTGTTCCCAGATGGCTGGTGCTAGGTAGCTGCCAGTCTGCTTGACTTCTAGTCCTTTGGTTTAAGGCAGCCATTAGAGCCAGGGAGAGTCAAAAGCCCTGTCCACAACTCACTGCTTATTTACAGGAAAATAAGCATCAGAAGGGGTGTTCACATTGTAAACTTAACTTACTACTGATATGAATAGAAATTTAACAGTGCTTACAGCCTGCTGAGTGCCCACTGATAGACAGATCCCTCTTCCCCCACAGCCCCACCCCTGTCTGCCTCAGCTCCTCCGAGCCCTCAGGTCTTGACTATCAATGGCTTGGGCAGAGTTTGGGCTGCTGGACTTCTTACTCATCTTGGGTCCCAACATTTCATTTATAGCCCTGTGATTAACTCCAAGCCTATAAGGGGTGAAGAAAGGGAATGGTTTATTCTCAAACCCCAGATCAGTTTTGTCTTTCCACAGTGCAGAAATCTCCACGTGCTGGACAGGGATGCGTCAAGTGGAGGAAATTTGATGGATTTGACTGGAACAAGATCAGTTTCCTTTCCCCAGAGAGCTTGTCTGTGGGTCATATGAAGGAAAGGGGCATGGAAGGTTTTCAGACTTTTCTGTGTCAGTGGGCCACTGGGCTTACTAGCCGTCTGAATCACCTCTGGTACTTTCTCTGCTTGACTGCTTGACCAATGGAAACAATGTGCTCCAAGTTTAAAATCATTAGCTAGGGATTGAAAAGAGCTATGTCTCTCAAAGAAGAAATCCTCAGTTACTTCATTATGAGTGCTCAGTGTATAAACTGATGTCATGACATGGTGTTTTAAAGGGGAAGGTTTTTTTATTGCAGATGAGACAGAGAGACAGAGGACAGACAGACAGACAGACACACACACACAAAGAGAGAGAGAGAGAGAGAGAGAGAGAGAGAGAGAGAGAGAGAGAGAGAGAGAGAGAGAGAGAGAGAGAGAGGGCAGCCAGAGGCGTCTGGAAGAGTCCAGAGCAGAGAGAGAAAACACGCTGACTGTGGCCCAGTAGAATGGATATGACCAGGGCTGTCTGCAAGCAAGGGGAGCGTAGAGGGGACAGGGAATACACAGTGAGAGAAGCAGGAGCAGAGCACTGAGACACACTGAGAACAACAGGGTTATAAGGAAAAGAGTGGCTGGGGGGGGGGAACCCATGAGCTGGAGGGAGTTTGGCATGGGGAGGAGGTGAGAAGGGGGAGGATGCTAGCGTGGACTTTGAAGTGTGTGTAACAGGTGCTTGTGGAGACTGGGGGAGCCCAGAGGCCAGCATGTGCCTTGATGAAAGGTGTCTCAGGCATATGTCCCTTCTGCCAGAGCTAAGGGAAAGGACTCCTTTTGGTAGAGAGAAACCTACTTCCCAAGTTCCTGAAGAATGCGGCTTTTACCTAACCTCCTGATACTCTCCAGTAGGCCAGGTTGAGCTCATTTTGGCTGACTGGACCACCGTTTGGAATTTGGGGAATTGCAGTTTCATTCGGAGCTGACACTGTTACACTCAGTCTTACCCTCAGCCCAGCTCATGAGCAGGATGGAGAAGCAACAAGATCAGATTCCTGACTTGTGTAGGCAACAGATCCCCTCCCAAGTCTCTACTTCCCATATGTCTGTGAAGGGGGCTAACATCATCTGGGGCTCTGGAAATTGTCAGCCTGCAAGTCACTGTCTCTGCCAAGGGAGTGTCACTGATGTCCCTGAGCCAGGTCTCCCTGGGCTCCTACATCAATGAATTGTGGTCATATTCACCACCCCATGTCTCCCCCTAACTCCTTCCAGATTCATCCCCACCCCTTCCAACTGTCTTTCTTTTCCTTCCTTCCTTCCATCCTTCCTCCCTCCCTTCCCCCTTCCTTGCTTTCTTCCCTCTTTCTTTTTAATATAATTCATGGAGTCCAATTTGTGCTGTCCCTATACTCTAGTTCATGGCCATCCCTTGGTTAACCAGGAGCCACACCCTTAAAGAAACTGACTGTCCCTCCCCAGAAACCATCAACTATCAGTAGTACCTCAAGCTAGAGGTGGGGACTCATAAGACACCCTTCTCCATGCTAGAATGCCGACTGGCTTGGTCCTGTGCAGTCACAGCTGCTGCGTTCATGGATGTCCAAAGACACTGTTTCCCTGTGGTCCTCCCCAATCAGTCCCTTCTTCCATGATGGTCTCGGAGCCTCGGAGTGGGTGTGATACAGATGCCCCATGTGTGGCTGAGTGCGCCACAGTCTTTTGTTCTCTGTACCTTGACCAGCTGTGGGTTTTTGCATTGCCTTCCATCCACTTACGGCAAGAGTTTCTCTGATGAGGTCTGAGAGCTGCACTGTGGGTGTAGAGATGTAACTCGAGAGGGCAGTTGGACACTGTGTCCCTTGAGCAGAATCACCACCATGAATCTCAGAATTTGAGGCCAGCCCTATCTATAGAGTAAGTTCCAGGACAATCAGGGCTACACAGAGAAACCTTGTCTCCCCCCACCACACACACACAAAACTCCATAAAAAATGCACGAGTTGGGCCTGGCATGCAAGCAGTCCTGAGTTCCCGTTCCAGCACTGCATAAACCCTGCTCCATAATGATGCAAGAAGTGGAAGGAGAGTCAGGAGCTCAGAGTTATCCTCAGCTACATATTGAGTTAGGCTAGTCCTCTGCCTCCTCCAAAGAAGAAAAAAAGATCCCAAAGAGTCAAGAGTCCTAAAGCGCTGTCAATCTGAATGGAAGCTGAAGCAGAAAGTCTGAAGTCTATCAGCAAATTTGGTCACTGCTCAACTCATGCTTGTAGAAAACCCAGATTAGGCTGGGCGGTGGTGGCGCATGCCTTTAATCCCAGCACTCGGGAGGCAGAGGCAGGCGGATCTCTGTGAGTTCGAGGCCGGGCTGGACCGATAGCGTCCAAAACAATACAGAGAAACCCTGTCTCATAAAAACCAAAAAAAAGAAAAAAAAAAAAAGAAAACCCAGATTAGGGAAATGACATAGCTCACCGCTCTAGCCCTGGTCAGCTTTTGAAGTCCTATATATTTGAAAGCCAAAAATTGTTCTACCTTGGACTCATCTCCATACATTTCCATAATCATTGCAGCATCTTTTAATGCTGCGAACATTTTAGAGTTGTGTTGTGACTGTTTCCTGTGATTTAGATGTGATCATTCTCAGTTTGACGCAAAGGAGCTGAGATCATACCCATGGGACCATCAACGTCCCCCATGAAGGGAGGGAGGAGGCTCACACTGCACAACCCCACCCCTGTGATTTACAGATTGACAGTTGCTGGGAAGGGAAGACTGTGGTGGTGCAGCAGCCGTAAATGTCTGTGTTTCTTCTGCAAACCCTTTGATCTGTTGTTGGGGTCCTGTTTGGGATGAACAGACATTTGGTTAAGAATCCCCAGGAAGCCATACAAGTTAAAATGTTGGAAATTTGGGTAACCTATCCAGGGTCACAAGTCTGTCCGACACAGCTTCTCTGGCTCACAGGGACAAGACTCTCTCTGTCTCAGGTTGGAAGGCAGCTGCCGGGGTTTGAAAGAGGCAGCATCAGATTTTATCTGTTGATGGAGTTCCAGAGTTGTTCTGCATACAGCCCACACTCACCATCAGCTGCATTTTATGGAATTATGACCTGTAGGCTTCAGAATATGCAGAGCTCAGATATCCAGTCTGAACACATCTCCAAAAACAGGTTTTACCAAAATTATCCGACAGAGTAAAGATGAGTTGGGAGAGTCCCGAGTGACTTGGGGACAGCTGAACTCTGCTAGCTGCACCTCTGGCTGTTACGGAGAAAGATAGAACTTTCCCTTCAGGCACCCATGTCCTCTGGGATGCTCCAGTCCCTTCAGATCTGGGAGCAGGCATGACAATCTTCTAGCAAGACATATTCCACAGTCAGCTTTGTGCCACTGTAACAAAACGTGTGTCATAAGTTAAGTGGAGGAAAGCTTTGTGTGGATTCATGGTTTCAGTCATCATTAGTTGGTCCTGGTGACAAGGAGGCAAAGAGACAGAAAGTGGTTAGGGCCTTAACATCCCTTTCATAGATACATCCCCAATGATCTAACTTCCTTCCAGTAGACCCCATGTCCTGAAGATTTCCTCATTTCTCAGTAGTGCTTAGCCTTCAACACGTTTCTAAAAGAGATGTTACGAACAATAATATGAACCTTTCAAAACCATTCACTTAGGTTTATGTGGGTCTAAACTTACCAGCATCATCTGAAAAACCAAATCCCAGGTCACAGAAGCTTGTAAAACAGGGAGAACCAAGGGGAAGGCAGAACAGTTAGTGTGTGCTGTTTGGATTCTCCCTTATGTGCTGAGGGCAAGGCTCGGTTGGGAGAGCGCTGGCCTAGCATGCATGAAGTGCTGGTTTCAGCTAATGGTTGAGGTTGTCACTTCCCATGGACCAGCGGGACGGGGGTAAAAACACAGAGGGAAAAACTCGAGAATGGGCCATAAAGTACATGCTGAGGCCATCCCAGATGTGCCCTTCAGATCTTCCTCCAGGGAAGAACTTGTGTCTACTTACAAGAAAAGTTAATGCCCAGGCTCCAGCTGTCAATCTTCTACCTCAACTTCTAAGCTTCACCATTATCCAGGAGCAGCTGAGCCACTCACAGGACACTGGATTCCTCTTTCGAGCTCCCATCAGCTGGCTGAGACTGGGCCAGGTGTGCCCCATACCTGTCTGCTCCCTGCCCATTTGGCCCCAGCCTGTAGGAAAATGCAGCCTGTGATGAGTGGAGAGACTGGGGTGCTACTCAGTGGTTAGGTGCTGTGCACCATGTGTGTGCCCGGTGCTTGTGGAGGCAAGAAGAGGATGTCCAGTCAGTTGTGAGCTGCCATGTGGGTTCTGGGGATTAAACCCTGGTCTTAACCCACTGACCCACCCCCTCAGCCTTCTTACTACATCATTAGAACATATTCTTTAGAGAAAAATAAATGCTAGGACAGAGCATTTAAAACATTTGTTACCCTGTGAACCCATGACTGGTTTGCCCTTTTCAGTTTTACACAAGAGTATCTGTTCCCCCAAACCACTGCTCTCTCTCTCTCTCTCTCTCTCTCTCTCTCTCTCTCTCTCTCTCTCTCTCTCTCTCTCTCTCTCTCTCTCTCTCTCTCTCTCTCGCTGTGTGTGTGTGTGTGTGTGTGTGTGTGTGTGTGTGTGTTCCCATAGTATCTGATCCCCATGGAGCTAGAGTTACAGGCAGTTGTGAGCTGCTGGGCATGGATACTTGGATACTGGGTTTTTTTTGCAACTTCTGAGCCATCTCTCCAGCCTTGCTTTTCCTTTCTTAGGAAAAAAACCCTCCATTCTTACTATTTTTCTGTGTGTCCCTGGTAAGTCTTGAGACATAGGAACCTGGGAAGTTTGGTGAGTGCCTGGGGCCTCAGAGCCACACTTCTAAAGCTGGGGGCCATGCAGGGTATGAGCTAGGCTATCACTATCTCACCTGGGTTGTTCAAGGACCCAGTGCTGCTGGGTCCCCAGAGTACTGTGACATCCACAGATTTTCCAGGCCCTCTGCACTCATTTGCACACTTCAGTTTTCCTCATGCCGTCCCAGATACACAGCGGGGTGACGGGAACTTAGATGAAGCTCCCGACTGACTGTCTCCATGAATGCTGTCACCTACAGGCTTCTAATGCTTCCCCCTTCTGGTTAATTAGGATCCCCACTTTCCTGTCAGATAGGTTTACCTTTGGTGCATTTATACCCTAAGTGCTCTCAGTCCCTCCCTATTCATTTAGCATAAACAGTCTTATCCCAATAGTATAGAGATACTTTTCCAGAAAAAAAACATTGCCATTGCCTTGAAAATTGGGTACACTTTTAAACTCAAACAATAACAAAAATACAAAGCCATTCAGATAAGCCTCTTTTCTGAATCTAGCAGGTGAATTCTTGAGGTGCTGTAAATAGTGTGTGTGTGTGTGTGTGTGTGTGTGTGTGTGTGTGCAATACCCAAGAGCACAAAGGGGGTTCCCCAGGAACTGGCGTTCTAGGCTGTTGTCAGCTGCCAAGTATGGTTGTGGGAAACTGAACCCAGGCTCTCTGGAAGAGCAGCCAGTGCACTTAACTACTGAGTCATCTCTCCAGGCCCAGGTTTGTTTGTTTATTATGTATTTTTTTCAAAGCTTCTTAGGAAAGAAACCCCTTTTCACTAAGGTAAAAGAAAACTTTAGAGATGCTCATGGCAGGGACTGTTCCTGGGAGAGAAAACGTTTGCAATTATCTTAAAACTCCAGCCACAGACGAGGAAGAGCAGAAGGGTTGGGGATTCCAGCCATTGTTTGGGACCTCTTGTGTCTACACTTTGGCATGGCCAAGGATATGTGGGTTTGAGAGACAGGAAGGATGCTCTAACCCGATTGGTCTCTTTAAAGATTCCGAGAATGGATGAATGGGACACTTCTCTCCACTCCAGAGACCCTGATAATTCTTTTTACTTACTGTCTCTTGAAATACTAAGTTAGCTAGGAGCAGTGGCACACACCTTTAGCCCCGGCACTAGGGAGTCAGGCCAGCCTGGTCTCCAGAGTGTGTTACAGGTCAAACAGGGCTACATAGAGAAAAACTGGCTCGAAAAACAAAGAATATTCCTGGGGAAAAAAAAAAAAGAGGAAGGAAGGAAGGAAGGAAGGAAGGAAGGAAGGAAGGAAGGAAGGAAGGAAGGAAGGAAGGAAGGAAGGAAGGAAGAAATCTATAGCAACCCACAGAGACCAGAAGAGGGCATCAGATCCCCATAGAACGGAAGTTACAGATGGTTGTAAGCCACCCAAAGGAGACAGTTTATTTAGGAAGGAAATCATTTTAAAATCTATATATCTATATCTAATGCTAAATTTCGTAGCTCGATGAAGCTTTTATCCCATGGCCCCGTGAATATTGTTTTGTGTAAGCAACATTTTAAGGTTTTGTGAAACATTCAATAGATCCAAAGGTTATCATTTTAGATTTTGAGATGGTAAGAGCGCCTCAGTTCATGTGTATTTATCAGGCCTTTCAACATATCCAAAAGCACATGCGTTCACACATTCACATGTGCATTTTAAAGTACACGCGATAACGGTGCTGGTGAGGCATCTGCCCTTCGTGAAAATTCGGATACTTTTACCGGTGAGATCTCTGCATTGGTATGCGTACGAGCCTCAATCCGGACGAAGAAACAGCACCGGGAAATACTAGTGTTTCCGTTTTACGACTATTCCCTGTATTGTTCTTTCCTCAAAGAAATGTTTATTTGTATAGTTAATAAAACTGCCGCGCCTTTCCTGCTTGTTTATCTAACCGCTCGCTTGGGCGTCGTCCTCTCGCGTACCCACGATTCTTCTAGGGACAGGGAACTAAAAACCAACGCTGGTGCCGGAGTGCTCTTCCTGGTCTCCGTCATCCCAGACCTGCCGTCCTGGGCCCGGTGCCCGCCCGGTCCCCGTCATCCCGGGCCCGGTGCCCGCCCGGTCCCCGTCATCCCGAGCCCAGTGCCGGCCAGGTCCCCGTCATCCCCGGCCTGGTGCCCGCCCGGTCCCCTCACCCCGCCTGACGACCCCGGCCCCTCCGCAGACGCGGCCGCCATCTTACGGGGCGGGGCCGCGGCCTCCCCGCCGCAGTCAGTCGGGTCCCCGGGTCCCAGAGTCCCCGGGCGGCCCCCGGCTCCCGAGTATCCCTCAGTTCCTCCTCGGCGTCCCCTCGCCCATGAGGGTCCCCTCAACACTGTGTCCCCCGTGGGTCACCGCGAGAGACTGGGGAGGAGGAGTCCAACGTTTGTCGCCTAAGGGCGGCGGGGCAGCCTCTGCGCGGCTCTGGTGGCTGGCGCCGCGGGATCCCGGTCTCCTCCCCTGCATTCGTGAACGACCAGGTTCTATCCCGAGCCTCTGAGCCCAGGAGCGAGCCGGTGCAGCGAGGCCTTCAGCGACGCAGAGTCACCAGCTTGCTGTGACCTCGTGGCGCAATGGTAGCGCGTCTGACTCCAGATCAGAAGGTTGCGTGTTCAAGTCACGTCGGGGTCATGGTGGATTTTATTTTTCCTCGCGAACCACGGCAGAATAGAGTAAAGCCTTAAAGAGAAATTAGATCAGTACCGGAAACAGTCCTTCCATTCCACGCCACTGAGACAGCACCACGTTTTCTCTTTCTTTGGACGGTGAATACCCGAATGCTCGGGAAAGCGGTGACCGACAGGAGGCGCTGCAGCAGCAGAGACTGCAGGTGGGACCTGGTGCTGACTTGGTCTCCAACACAAGCGCCCTGCCTCGCCCCTCGGACTCTGCCCATCCCACCACAGATTACCTGGGCCTGTGTGAGCTATCAGTGCTGAACCCTGCGCTTTAATATAGATCTCTCCTTGTCTGCCTTGAGCTTCATTTTCTCAGCTCCCTACTCTGAACGCTTTTTCTCGCGATGACCATCTCTTTGTAACTTTAGTTCTGGTAGACACAACACTCTCACCCAGACATATATGCATGCATGACACCAATGCACACAAAATAAATAAATAGTTTTTTAAATAAGCAAAATAAAATAAAACATGGCTTTTGGGTATGATCCACTCCACCTGTCTGGTACCAGACAGGGCTGGCAGAGGTGGACATTTATTCAGAGGGAGGTAATTCCCTCTGAATGAGATATCAGCCTCAAATCATATCATCTAGCTTTCTCATACATAAGTTCTCAGACAAAATTTACTCACAAAATTTAAAAGAGAAGACATGAAGGGAGCTGAAGAGGAAGCATGACTTCCTGGGTTCTGTTCCCAGACAGGGATAAACTGGGAGTGACAGGCCACTGACACAAAGAGTGAACTGAACAACTTACAAAGACATAAGGAGATAGAAAGTTCCAGAGTGTTGAGATAATGAGAATAGAATGAAAAAAATTCCAAGCCTAAATAGCTTCTCTGAGGAAGATAATAGAGAGAACAGGGGGAAGGGCAGTCTTCAAGGAGACACCAGACGGCAGGGGAGAGGCAGTCTTCAAGGAGACACCAGATGGCAGGGGATGGTGATTTGTCATTTTCAGACCTGACAGCTTGTGAGTCTCCACTCTGAAGAGGTCAATGTATCTTAGGACTGATATAAGTCACCCATCCCCACACTGAGTGGTTTAAGTGAGGAATGTCTCCCACAGGCTCATGTGTTTGAACACCTGGTCCCCAGCTGGTGGCACTTTTTGGGGAGGTTTTAGAACATTTAGGAGGGAGTTGAATGCTGGAGGTAGTATGTAGCTTGGGTGGGCTTTGGAGTTTTATAGTCTGGCCTCACTTCCTGTTCTCTCTCCCTGCTTCCTGTCTGTGAATGAAATGTGATGATTGTGCTTCTGACTGCCAGGCTGGCCTCATGCCCCTGTGGCAGTGCCTTCCCTGCCATGAAGGACTGTGTTCCCTCTGGGCCTGTAAGCTCAAACAGACCTCCCTTTCCTTTACATTGCTATTACTTAGTATTTAATTACAGCAACAGAAACATAACAAGACACCTTGTAGTGGTAATTAGGAAAAAATTTTAAAACATTGCAGATTATCTACAATAATCTGACTGAAACAGAATTCTCAGTAGCAGCAGCCATGGGAACCAGGAGAGCTGTTCTCACCATTCCTAAGTCTTCAGACAGAGCAGTTGTCAACCTAGAACGTCAAGAACAGATACAGCTACCACAGCCCTCCAGCCTGTCTAGTGGATGCCGTTCAGGAAGGAGGAGGATGATCTCAGGCAGGCCAGACTGCAGAAGGGTATCGAGCAAAGAAAATGCCATTGAGTCAACAGCAAATAAACAGAAGTGAAATGCTGAACAAGAATACTATACAATCAAGAATAAACATAACTTAGAAGTAAAGGAGTGAAAGAGTATATTCTCAGAGAAGAAGACTAGATAGACTCTTTATTAGGCTTAGATCAATCACATCAAGTGTGTCAGAAGTAGGAAATCTGCATGCAGAGATAAGGGCTGGAATGTAGCTCAGTTGGCAGAGTGTTTGCCCAGCATGCACCAAGCCTAGGGTCTATCAAAAAAAGGGGGGGGGGTAGAGACATCATTAATAATTGATCAGTAATTAAAGTCCTCAAATTGTGGGGACTGAGGACTGAGGCATCTACATAGTGGCAGACCATGTGCTCAGGACTAGTGAGGTTCAGTCACCAAATTTGATCACCTTAACAGAGATGACCAAATGGACATATCTAGAACTTTGCATATAACAATTACAACAATGTCTTGACCTCACAGGGAACATTTCAGAAAAGCTTGATCACATTATAGGCTTTAACATAAGTCTCAATAAATCAAAGCATATTTGACATCAGAGTACTGTCTCTGACCAAATTATTAGTAAATTAGAAACTAACTAAGAAAATATTATGAGGCTTTGGCATGGTGGCACACAACCTTAGTGCCAGTATCCAGAGACAGAGGCAAGCAGATCTCTGTGAGTTTTAGCCAGCCTGGTCTACTTAGTTCTAGGCCACCCAAGCTACATAATGAGACCATGTACAAAACAAAAACACCCACAACAACAACAACAACAAAAAAAAACAACAAAATTCCCTCAAACAAATTTTAGAACCTACAAAAATTAGCATCTTACCTTACAGAATTAACACCATCAATAGCAAAAATACCCTAGCCTCTTAAAAAAACAAAACAAAACAACAAACCAACTTCAGTATTACTTTATAGGTGAAACACAGAGTCAGACTCTTGGACTTTTGTGTGAGTCATTTTCCGTCACTGAAAAAAAATACCTGAGGTTGAAGGCTGATATTGGGAAGAGATTTATTTAGTTCACTTTTGGGGAGGTTTTGGGAATCATGAAGTTGGCCTGGCCTAGCTACCTTGAGGGGCATACGTCATAGGTTTTTTGTGTTTGAGTCTGTATCCCCTGGGTCACTGAGTACCTTTGAGTTTCTGAGAAACCAAGGCATTCCGTCAGGCAGTGAAGCATTGAGGCCACTTTGCATTTCTCTGTGTTCCTCAGAACTCAACTGAAGCATACAGAAATTTGTCAAGACAATTGGCCTTAGACGTTAATCCTGTGTACCTTATATATCTTTTAAACATCACTGTGTCCTGGCAACTACAATTGTATTGATCCTGGCAATCACCACTATGACCTGTTTCTGATAAAGGTATAAAGTCTGACTGTGTTTTCAATAAACTTGTCTAAACCTGTCTTGCTGCGGTCCCCCCAACCTGTGCATGGCTTTAAAGCTTGACCGGCCCCATCAGGTAACCTGGGCCTGGTAAGTAAGTGTCCATGCTTATAGGAAGTGGAAATCCTAGCTGCATGACCATGACGTTTGCTCTGGTGAGGACCTGGCTCCACATCATCACTGGGAAAGTGCATGTTATTGAGAAGAAGCCAGAGTGACTAGTGAGGGTCCTGTCTTGCTTAGAGGCAGGTAAGGATGACTGAACTGTGTGTGTGTGTGTGTGTGTGTGTGTGTGTGTGTGTGTGTGCGCGTGCACACACACATATGTGTTTGCTCACATAGGCTAGAGATCATCAGGAGTTATTCTTTGGATATTGTCCACTTTGTATTTTGGGTTTATGATCTTTTTGTTACATTTTTACTTATTATTTGTGTGTCTGTGCCACATATCAGTGAATATTGAGGCTCCATAGACAACATTTCTGGGCACACGTGGGCAAGATTTTTTTCTTTGAGATGGAGTCTTGTGGGAGCGAATGTACTCTTTTCTTCTTCTTCTTCTTCTTCTTCTTCTTCTTCTTCTTCTTCTTCTTCTTCTTCTTCTTCTTCTTCTTCTTCTTCTTCTTCTTCTTCTTCTTCTTCTTCTTCTTCTTCTTCTTCTTCTTCTTTTTGATACAGGGTTTCTCTGTGGTTTTGGAGGCTGTCCTGGAACTCGCTCTGTAGACCAGGCTGGTCTCGAACTCACAGAGATCCACCTGCCTCTGCCTCCCGAGTGCTGGGATTAAAGGCATGCATAAGGAGCACAGTCACATCAAGGACCCCCAATGACCATGGGAAAAGCAAGGCCTTCCCCCGGCTCTAGTACGGATGTTGATGGTACACACAGGAAGTACCAACTACAGCTTCCTCCTTCTTTATGACCATGGCAAGTGCTTGTGTTTACTTACCCAGTCACAGTTACCTGATACGGCTGGTCAAGGAACTAAAACCAGGCACAGGACGGAGGGGATGCAGCAAGACCAAAGATGTGGCAATTTTACTGCAAGCAATCAGACTTTTATACTAAACCTTATCAGAAACAACACAGTGATGATTTCCAGGATCAAATACAGTTGTATTTGCAAGCTATGCAGGGTACATAAGATTAATGTCTAGGACCAATTGTCCTGACACATTTCTCTGTGCTTCATTGATTTCTAGGGAACATACAGAGAAACACAGGGAGCCTGAATGCTTCACTGCCTGAGGGAGTGCCTCGGTTTCCAGGAACTATAAACTCTAGTCGGCAAAACCTATTACGCATGCCTCTCAAGGCAGTTAGGCTAGACCAGCTCCATGACTCCCCAGAGACTATAGTCTAAGACTGCCCCTCCTCAGATGTCCTCTACTGAGATTAGCTGACCCATCTCCTCATTTGGCTGTATACAATAAACATGTTGAGTTTCCCTGATGCTGGTGTGTCTCTATCAAAGTGCACAGCCCAACCAACCCCAGCTTTTCTGTATATATGGTTGTCATTTCTTCATTCTCTGTTGCTCCAGTCAAATCAGTGCCCCATACATTCAGGTTGCAGCAGGGTCTCCTGAACTTCTAGGCTGAAGCACTCTCTGCCTTCTCAACAGCTGTGGTTACGGCTTATGCCTTTGTACCTTTATTTATGATTTATTACAGCTTGCCTGAGGATCCAGAAAGCAAAGTCAATCACAAGCCATAGAAGCCAGGCACACACCTTTAATCCCGGCAGTCAGAAGCTAGGAGGCGCTGATACACAACTTTAATCCTAGGACTCAGGATTAAGAGGTAGACAGATCTCTATGAATACAAGGCCACCAAGATCTACACAAGACTGAATCAATCTAAAAGAGAATTATCACTCGCACCTTTAATCCCAGAACTAGAGGGGTATAAAAAACAGGAGAAAGGATTCAGTAGGAGGCATTCAGTCTCCAGCCACACTGAGGAGAGGCAGCAGTTTGAGACTTGATGAAGAGCTCGTGCATGGATCAGCCCTTTCAGTCTGAGCTAGAGGTGAGAGCTTGTGGTCAGCTGCTTTGATTCCCTGATCTTCAGCTTGAACCCCAATATTTGCCTCAGGGTCATTTATTTATTTATTTACTTACTTACTTATTTATTTATTTATTTATTTATTGTTACAGTACCTAGCAGAATTTTGGGCAGAAAGGAAGTGCAGATTCAATATGCAGCCCCAGTAAACCCAAGCAGCCAGAAAACCTTGAAGAGACAGAAAGAGAACAGTTTTAACCTACAACAAGCATCTAAGTTATAAGTATCTGCAGGAAACCTTGAGTGAGTGACATCCTGGGCGCATGTGTGCAGTTGATATAAGCACAGTTATGTCAAGGACCTTAGCCTTAGACCTATGGAAAAATGCCAACATCTTCCCCCCTGAGATGAAGCTCAGGGGGGTGGCAAAACCTTCTGTGTGCAGATGTTGACAGTGTGTGCAGAAAATATCTACCGTAGCTTTCTCCTCCATGATGCTCCCCATAGCTGCTTCTATTGAGATGAGCTCAACCCATCTCCTTGTTTGGCTGTATATAATTGCTCTGCTACTCTGTGTGTGATAACCCCCTAGCTCCCTGTCTTGCTGCATTCAGTAACCCTGCTTCTCTGTTTAACTGTAGAATAAACACACTGAGCTTCAGGGAGCCCAGTCCACCGGATCCCAGCTTTTCTGTGTGTTTGTCTTTTCTTCATTCCCTCACTGCCTCAGTCAGGTCCAAGTCCCCAAAGCTGTGCAAAGGACTCAGTAAGTATGCAAGTGACCTTGCATAGGACATTCTCAGGTGACTTTTGTGGGAACAGGACAGACCCAGAGAGATGAGGCTGTGTAGACACGGACCTCCTCAAAGGACCTAGGTGGGGCATCATGTGTGGCCTCTGCATGCCATCTGTGGCCTGATGTCCTTGACTTATGCTCTGCCTTCCAACTGTGCTAGCCATTGTGGGATAATCTTTTTGTACATAGTGAAGATGTGTCTCTGTCAATCACCTTCTGATGAGTTTCATAGAGAGCTGAATGGCCAATAGGAGGAGAGGATAGGCAGGACTTCTGAGCAGAGATAGGAACTCTGGGAAGAAGAGAGGTGGGATTCACCAGCCAGACATGGAGTAAGTTGGGCATCCAGTATGGGGGAGAGGTAATGAGCTACATGTCAGAATGTAGATTAATGTAAATGGGCTAATTTAAGTTATAGTTGCTAGTTGGGAACAAGCCTAAGCTAAGAACAAGCTTTCATAATTAATAAGAAGTCTCTGTGTCATTATTTGGGAGCTGGTGGTTCAAAGAAAGTCTGACAATATTTGGTGGCCAAAGTGTAGCATGAATATCCACATAGGACCTGAGAAAGCTGAAAAAATAAAGTTCCAAACACAGAGCTGGACTCAGCTTCCTAGTAACCAAATCTCTCAGGCAGTCTTGGTGCTCGTAGAATACAGAGGCATAACTCCTTTAAGTCCTGGTGCTCGCAGAATACAAAGGTATGACTAAGAGTCCCTGCTGTGCAGCTGAGCACTTGAGCAGCTGGCCCAGCTTGGACCCACCAACTTCCCAGAGCTGGAGCAGATAAACCCAGCTCCCAGCCAGGTGGTGATGGCACACACCTTTAATCCCAGCACTTGGGAGGCAGAGGCAGTCTGATCTCTGTGAGTTCAAGGTCAGCCTGGTCTACAGTGCAAGTTCCAGGACAGCCAAAGCTACACAGAGAAACCCTGTCTGGAAAAACCAAAACAACAATAACAGCAACAACAAAAATGTGGCCCCTGGCCAGTGCCAGCAGACATGAGGCTGTGTTCTCCTGGAAAGGCAAACAGAGCCCTAACTCTGCAGGCTAGAGCCAGTGGGGTAGTCTGCTGGACTCACTCAAAGGGTGGGGGCTGGATCCAGTTGCCAGCACCTTGTGCTAAGTGGAGCTGCACCGTGGGTGGCCTGGTCATTTAAGGTTTGGCTCATGAGGTCAGAGAAGTCAGCAGACACATAGATTGCCACATCCAGATGGAAAAAAAAAAAACTCTTAACAGGTACAATATGCTTGAAAATGTGCTTAGATGCTGAAGAGAGAAAAGAAAATGGGTATAGTAACTGGAAAAATAAGTAATTAAAAAATAATAAGATAAAAATCTTAAAAAAAGAGTAAAGTAATATAAAAAGAATAAGCCATGTAAGGATGGGAAATATTATAAAACAGGGTGATTCTAGATCTTATACAGCACTTTACTAACTTTAAGTTTTTAGATGCTAATGAGCAAAAATAACAGTTGCCAAGAGACATTGGATTATGGAAACTGCTGAGATAAACCAATCTATGTATTTTAAGGATATCTTCACTGCAGAATGGAAGTAAGAAGATGTGTTATGTTGGGGAGAGGTTATGCCTTTGTTTCCACAGGAAATGAAAAGCTATGGGTTCCTTCAAAATTAATAAAGGTCAGATTTAACTGGGGGAGACTTGAAAATCTTGGCTATGTTGTGTCCAAATTGCAAAGATCCCCAGAGAACACCAGGAAGACAGACCCACTAAACCGTAAAAACAAGGTTTTAATTGTACTGATTGTTCATCCAACTATGACAGGGACCCTGTCTAGCAAGCTGACGCAGCAGCCTCCAGAGGGAGTGAAGTTCCCTGTCTACTGCTAGGTTTTATAGACAAAAGTTACAGGATTACATAAGTATGTATAGGTTGGTTTCTGATTGGTTGACATTTGGGAACAATTAGGAGAATTTCTCAGAGTCATATTTTGGCATGAAATACCTGTGTACCAATTATTTTCATTGGTCAGTGTTGAGAGGGAACATTCTGTGGTTTCTATGGCATTGTCTTGTTACTTGCAGGTGGCCTGTTGTACATAGATACCAATAGTTTTCAGAATTATATCCTGGAGAGTACAGGGGAGGTTTTGGTCCCCCCTGGAGTTTCTTTTGTGACCAAACAGTTCCCAGGAACCAAGTATCTTATCTGGAGATTGGAAGGAGGGTCTGGAATTTCTTTTGTTCACTTTTGGCCCTAGACTCCAGAAGGCCAGACGGTCTGGAGTTTCCTTGTGTCAGAGACCTACATGTCTTTTCTGTAGCATGTCATGGCTACTAAAGCAGGGGGCTGAGTGAGGGCCTGGTTCCTTTATTTCTAAATTATTAGAAGTGAAGCCCTTGAGTTTAGTTTACCCCTTTCAGGCTACAGACATGAAGGAAGAAACCAAGAAAAACTACAAGACATGTGATGTATATGCTGATCCCTCTACATGGGAACAGCTCTGAAACAGGATGAGATATGGCAAGTCTTGTTGGCTACAGAGTCCTCATGACATTATTATATGCCATCCTTTCATATGCTGTGAATGGAGACTTATATTACAGTTTGGTTATGCAGTCCAAATGGACTTATAAAGTTAACAGATGTCTTTTACCTGATCAAGCATAGAACAGAGAATCATCTTTAGCTGATTTGTGTACACCCCATATTCCATACATGTGTTAATATGTTAAAACATTATTAATATATTAGCACATGTGTTAATATATTCTTACTTGGTAATTGTTCTTATTGTATAAAGTTGTACTGTGTTGGAGTTAAAGCCTTTCCTTTTTATTTAGACAAAAGGGGGGAAATGTTGTAGGCTAACCTTTTTGTACACTGTGAAGATGTGTCTCTGCCAAAGTACTTTCTGATTGGTTTAATAAAGACCTGAATGGCCAATAGCTAGGTAGGAGAGGATAGGCAGGACTTCTGGGCAGATTCACCAGCAAGACATGGAGTAAGTTGGACCCACAGTATACAGGAGAGGTAATGAGCCATGTGGCAGAACATAGATTAATATAAATGGGCTAATTTAAGTTATAAGAGCTGGTTAGGAACAAGCCTAAGCTAAGGTTAAAGTTTCATAATTAATAAGAAGTCTCGCCGGGCGGTGGTGACGTACACTGTAGTAGTGAACCCCATAAAGCTATCTTCCCATGAGGACGGGGACAAGTAAATTAGCACAGGTAGAGATAAAAGGAAGCAAAAGGAAAAAGGACCTCCCTGTTTTGGAAGCCAGCCACGCTTCTAACTCCTAGCTTGTGTGACTCTGTCTCTGGTAAATAAATATATTGTATCCCCTATAGCATCGGCTATCATCATTAGCACGCCTTTAATCCCAGCACTTGGGAGGCAGAGGCAGGCGGACCTCTGTGAGTTCGAGGCTGGGCTGGACCGACAGCCTCCAAAACAATACAGAGAAACCCTGTGTCTCGTAAAAACCAAAAAAAAAAAAAAAAAAAAAAAAAAAGAAGTCTCTGTGTCATTATTTGGAAACGGGCAGTCCAAAGAAAGCCCAACAGCAGACATTCTCAGGGGTTCCCTCTCTTTGTCACATCCCCATAGATAGCCCTCCTTTGTGTTTAACTCAGTGAGCAACCTGACCAGTTAGCACTTCTGGGGATGGTCAATGTCATCTGTGCCTTCTGGCCTCAGTGTGGCCCTTTTGGAGTGACACTAAGTGGAAGGATGGAAATGAATGAAGGGTACAAAGCTTGTGGCAGTGCACAGTCAGCTCTAGCTCTGAGATTTGCAGAGCCTGGACAGCAGGCAGAAGCCTGGAGGATTCCAGGACTGTCACTAGGCTCTCTACGCCCTGACTACCCACAAAGCTGGCTTCCCAGCTGTGTTTGGCAGCAAGGGGCAGCCTTCAGGGCTGTTGCTGGGCATAGGATTGTGGGTCAGCATTCTATTTTTATATCTGGTCTGGCCATTGTCCACTTCTATATTTACTCTCTCAAGGGTATTCCCAACTGCCTTCTTACAGGGTCACAATAAACTGTAGCCTTAATGGGGCACACAGGTAGGCCACTTTCCACTGGTCACTGCCGATAGCCCTTGCCTGCCTTCATGCTTGAAGGTGTCAGTGGGGCAAAACACGAGGCACGAGGTCCTTACCAGCCCCAGAGTGCTGTGCCATCCCAGACTGTGCCAGGATATGTTTCCTGAAAGATTCATGCCCGAGGCTGTAACAACTAAGGACGCCAGTATGTAGTGGTGTGACATAATGGCCGAAAATACAAGTGTCTGGTGTTTCTCCGATGTGAGGTAAGCTGGCAGACATTAGCAGGTGACTGAGAATGGACCTTCTCCCTGCCATAAGTTTTGCTTTGGGGCTCAGCTCCTTCCATGGTAACACAGTGTATGTTTTTTAAAGAACATTTCATAGTGTCTCTCCTTAAGACTTAAATACCACCCAAAGGGAAGAAGGTAGCACCCCAGGGCTTTGTCTAAGCCCACTGAGGGAAAGCTATTTCCTCTCTGTAAACTACAGATATTTTATAGACTTGCTGGCTTTTCTGAAAGATGTTTTTCTTGGCATATGTTAGTCATCCAGAATGAGAATGATGGGCTTCGTTGTGTATATGATGCTTTTGATCATTTAGACCCCTTATACTCTCTTGCAATTTCGCTGATCGTTCCCTCCTCCCTAGCAGCCCCTCCCTGTATTTCACATCTCTGTGTGTGACCCAGTGATGCTGATCACATTTGCTTACAGGAACATGGGTGAGGGTTGCTAACAGGAGCATAGACACCCTTTTTTTGTGGCTACATTACTGAGGAACACCCCCACACCCCAAACCATTAACTGCCTACAGTATCTCAGGGAGGGGTGGGGTCCCCTAAGTGCCTCCTTCCTTTCTGACAGAATATTGACAGGTTTAATGTTGTGCAGGTTAACACAACCGCTGTCAGTTAAAGAGTGCCCCATCATGCCATGCTTGCAAGACAGTGTTCCACAACCCTCCACCCTATCCTCCGTCTCTTACATCCTTCGTCAGCGTCCCCTGAGCCTCAGAGTGGGTGATATAGATGCTTCATTTGTTGGTGTGTTGGAAAAGTGCAGTGATATATTATTTATGGCCTATTAAAGCTTATCTGAGGATTCAGAAAGCAAAGTCAGTCACAAGTCGTAGAAGCAAGGCACACAAATTTAATCCCAGCAGCCAGAAGCTAGGAGGTAGTGGTACACACTTTTAATCCTAGGACTCAGGATTAAGAGGTAGACAGATCTCTGTGAGTCCAAGGTCACCCAGATCTACACAAGACTGATCCAATCCTAAAGAGAAGCAGCTCACACAAAGATGATCTTGGCACCTGGGATCACCTGCCTTTAATCTCTCTAATTAGGGAGGTGTTTAAGACAGGAGCAAGGTCTCAGTAGAGAGCATTCATTCTCCAGTCACACTGAGGACAGGAAGACATTCAGTCTCAGGACTCTCCAGCCGCACTGAGAGGCAGCAGGATCAGCCCATTCTGCCTGAGGTAGTGGTAAATCTAGTGGTCGACTACTTTGCTTTTCTGTTCTTCAGCGTGAAGTTTGAACCCCATTAGTCTCTGGGGCTTTTATTTTTCGTGTTACAGAAAAGAACCCTGAATTGTTGGAAAAAGGTATTTCCAATGCCTCACAAAAAGGCACTGCTATAAAACACAATAAACCAAACTGGTCGGGCGGGCACACTAGGGCAGGAAGTTCAATTAGTTTTTCCCTAATGCAGACATGAAGAGGAAGGTTGTGATGGAGTCAGATCTCAGGAATGCCTGGGATCCAGGGCTTGGGCAAAACAGGTGTGTTCACAGAGGTTCACAGGGTGAGGGGCATTTATAGGACCCTGGCCCTTGCTGGGCTGACATCTGTCTTAGGATTTCTATTGCTGTGATGAGACATCATGACCATGGCAATTTTTTTAGACACACTCAAATGCTACATAAAGTATAAGTCCCATTTTATTTTTTCCAAGGTGTTTTTCTTCTGTCTTCATGAAGTCATATCTTTACATGGGCTTTGGTGGAGGATGTGGTGCAGCAACAGCAGGTCTACATCATGGTGAGGTGTTTGGTCCTTCTGGGCATCACAAGATCGATTCCTGACTACTTTGCTATGAATAGCACAGCTCACACAGTAATGCAGCTTGACAGAGTTTGGGAACCACATAAGCGTCTAAGACACTTGCTTCAGATATGTTCCTGACAGCAGTGGCCTCCACAGTGTTCTGAATGACAAACTTCTTAATAGTCTTGTCCTTGGGCACACACTGGACGAGTTCGTGTAGCGAATTGGCTGCACATGGCCATGGCACTTTTTGGCACACCGTTGTTTCTTCTTTTTTTGGTCATCTTGGAGCCAAGACCTGAAAGAGTGACCATGGAAATTCTTATAAAGGAAAACATTTAATTAGGGATGGCTTACGGTTCAGAGGTTCAGTCCATTACTGTCATGGTGGGAAGAATGGCAGTGTGCAGGTAGACATGGGGCTGGAGAAGGAGCTGAGAATTCTATATCTGGACAAGGAGGCAGCAGGAAGAGAAAGTGACACTTGGCTTGGCTTGAGCATCTGAAACTTCAAAGACCATCCCACTTCCTCCAACAAGGCCATGTGTCCTGATCCTTTCAAATAATGCCTCTCCCTATGAGCATATGGTGGCCATTTTCATTCAAACCATCACACCATCTTTGATGGGAAAGACTTTCTCATAGATGGGCATCCAATGGCCACTTATTCTTAACACACTGGCAGGTTACCAGTTTCTGCAGTTACAGCTGCCCACTACAAGAAGCTTCTCCAACTATGGCTGGCACACCACTAATCCATGGCCATAAACACAATTATTTAGAAGGCAATTGGGTGGGCATATTGTGTCTTTTTAGGACATGATGTTGGATGTATTATTTTTAAAAAATTCTTTTAAATTTATTCTATTGCATGAATGGGGTCTGAGTCATATCTCTGGCCCTGAGTGGAGGCATGACATTCTAAACTGATCCCTAAGGTCATAATATTATGAAGCCATGGTGTTAATATTGTCCCCTCTCTTAAGTGTTGGCCAAAGGGGATCTGTCAGTCACACGGGCAGGAGAATGTCTTTCTGAAAACTATAACTGGGCTGGAGACACAGCTCGGCAGTAGAGGCACTTGCTTCCAAGCCTGATGATCTAAGTTTGATCCTGGTTACCCAGATGGTGGAGGGTGACTTTCTCAAGTTGTCCTCTGACATCCATGCATATGAACACACATTGAATAAGTAAATGAGTAACTAAGTAAGAGTAATGAAAGCTGTAACTTCAAGAGGTGTGATTCACTTGAGGGCATTTTAAAGAGTTGGGGGAATGGCTGCCCTTGAATGAGCCAGGCGTGTGAACAGTCTACATGCCCCTCCCCAGTACAGTGCTCCTGGGTCCCTAGTGCTAGGCCTGCCTTCTTTGCTGAGTTCTAACTTAGAAAGCATAACTTTCTTTCTCCTTGTTGGGTGTTTCAGGCAGGATCTCGTTTAGCCCAGGCTGTCCCTGAACTCACCCTGTAGCCAAGGCAGACCTTCTGCATCTGGCTCCCAATTATTGGGATTAGAGGCTGGTGCCACCATGCCCAAGGACACTAGAGGAAGGCACCACCCAACACAGTGTCAAAGAAATTTTGGGAGGAAAAGTGACCATAAAATGTATGGCCCTTCTCATTTCCCTCAGATACTGGAATTAAATAAAATTCTCTCCTCCACTTACCCCACTTCCCTGGTTTTTCTGCAGAAGAGATGGGTGGTGGATTTTGGTAGCAGTGGGACTTTTGAGGGGGTTCATGACCATATCTTGTCATTGTCACCCCCAGAGAGATAGAACAGCATGTGCTGTGGAGGAGAGGCTGTGTCTGTGGGTTCAAATCTGTGTGTTTACCACCCAGGCTGGGGAAGTGGAACAAGCAGAAGCTGGGATCTGGAGGCTGCTCAGACAGGGAACTCCCTGCAGTAGCTCATCTTGGTCTTTAAGAATGGCAGCTTCGTTAAGGGGACGGGGAGTTGCAGGGCTACACCTGAAGTTTTAGGGCAGAAGTCCCAGCTCTGGCTAGCCCCAGTGGGCAAGGCTCAGGCACCATCCTGAAATGAGACATGTGAAAACAACAGCCTGGAGATCTCATCCATACGAATGGTCAGGAAGAAGCGACAAAGTGGTCCTGTGGTCCCAAGTCTGTCTTGAGGTACAGTCAAGGCTGAGATCTTGCTGGCCGTTGTTGTAGTTCTGATTCTGCAAGGGTGTCCGAGATGCCCGTATTGCTCTAGGGGCAGCCTGTTCTCAGGAGGTGGACACTCTTGCTGCATGATGCCGCCTCACCCGTGTGGATAACTACCTTCACACCAAGAGAGGGCTGTCATGGAAGGCTCTGTTCTTCATCTGGGGTCTGCAACAGGGCTGTGGCTGATGACTCAGCTATTCCTATCTTTGCGCCTTCAGACTGGAAGTGGGTGAGATAGGTTAGCTGTTCCTGGTTTTAAGCGTGATTAACAAGTGCACATGCGGTTGAGCAGGAGACACAATGTTAAGAAGATGCGCGATGAAGACAGAAGGGCTGGCCTCACCTCCCGCTTTTAGGGACTCTGTGGGCCCAGTGAAGAGGCAAAGCTTCAGACAAGAGCAACTTCTAAGCATGCCAGCTCCAGTGGGAGAGAAGGGGTCAGCCTCATGTAACTGAGGCGCTGCTTTCCTACAGGAGGGGAAATTCTCTAAGACAAATATTGGAAAGAAACGGAGTAGCTGTACTGACAGTGGCTGAGAATAGAGACAAAGGGACAGAGAGGAACCTAGACAACCATTTTAAAGTATATTGTTGGGGCCTCATGTTTTGGAAATCTATTCCACCCAGCTGCGAGTTCTGAAGAGCCCAGAATTTCTATGGTCTTTTAGATGTCAGCTGATAGCTGTTGGATGGCCTCAGTGGAGAATGGCTCTTCTTCTAAATAACAGTAGCCTTGGGCCAGAGTGGGTCTACACCCACCCTGAAGGCTAGTGAGACGTGCTGGTGTGAGGTGCCTGAGGGCTAAAGTACGTGCAGAAAAGGAGTGTCTTCAGGATTAAGGGAAATAATTGCTATCAGCCCTTTTTTTTAATTATTTTTTTATTTTTTTGTTTTTTTGGAGACAGGGTTTCTCTGTATTGTTTTGGAGCCTGCTATCAGCCCTTTGTACATGATAATAGATGTCTCCTATCATTGCCTCCACCTTTGGATGGTTACTTAAGATGATGGATCAATAAACAGTGGCCTTCAGTATTAGCTGATTGC